CATTTTAAATGCGCATTCCAGGGGCGCCTGGATGGTTTAGTTGGTTAAGCATCTGACTTCAGCTCAGGTCATGATCTCGCGTCGGGCTCTGTGCTGACAGCTCTGAGCCTGGAGCCTGCTTTGGATTCTGTGTCTTCCTCTCTCTCTGCCCCTCCCCACTCCTGCTCCTAAAAAATTTTAATAAATGCACATTCCATAGAGCAGTACCAATGCCAATGTCTTGGTGGGAATACATTTCCCAGCTTCCATGTGGCACAGCTGGTTGAGTTAGAGTGAAAGATACAGAAATTGGTCCTGGATGAGGCAGAGGACCCCAGAGAAACCACTCACTTTACAATTCTCAGCTCCCAAACCGTATCTGCAGTGGGGTAGACGTCTTGATCCAAGTGTTGGCCATGATATGCCTTACAACTCTGGTCACTATAGTATGCCAGCAAATCTCTGCAACAGAATTATTTTATGAATCCAAGATAGATGAGGCTTTAGAGTAGAAACATTGCTGTCCTGGCATGAACTCAGGGTGGCTTAAAAGAGGAGGCATCGCGATGGGAATGGTTGGCAAAAGTTCGTGGGTCCCACAGAGTATTTTTTTTTTCTTTCTTTCTTTTTTTTTTTTTTAATTTTTTTTTTCAACGTTTATTTATTTTTGGGACAGAGAGAGACAGAGCATGAACAGGGGAGGGGCAGAGAGAGAGGGAGACACAGAATCGGAAACAGGCTCCAGGCTCTGAGCCATCAGCCCAGAGCCCGACGCGGGGCTCGAACTCACGGACCGCGAGATCGTGACCTGGCTGAAGTCGGACGCTTAACCGACTGCGCCAGCCAGGCACCCCTTTTCTTTCTTTTTTAAATTTGAGACCAGCATTTAAAATGGTAACATTTCTCACAACACCCAGATTTCTGGAATCTCTTGAGAAACCGGGAGGTCTAGCATGCCACGCTGCTGACCTCCATGGCAGTAGTGCATGGCGCACCTTTAGGACAGCAGTGGTCCAGAGTGGACGTGGGTGATCTGGAGGAGACCGTACGTTAACTGCTGGCCCCTGGTGGTATTTATGTCTGCAAGATCCTCCCACAAAACCTGTAAGCATGGCAGGGTTAATTGGAATTGAAACCCAGGCAAATCTGGAGTTGCTCATACAAGAATCATAAGAAAAGGGGACAGCTGTGAGCCAGGGAAGGACCCATGGGTAGGTTCAGAAAGATGGGGTTCATGTTGGTGATTGCTAAGTTGTTGACCCATAGGCAGATGACAGGGCTCTCGTGGTCACAGCCTGTCTCCCAAAGGGTCATTTAGATGGAGGGAACAGCAACCGCCACTCACGGAGCCTGTGTGCCAGGCTTCATGCCTATCACCTCATGGAAGCCTCATACCATGAGTTCACTTTCTTGGGCTTCAGAAAGAGAGGCTAATGGATGAAATTTGGCCTAAGGGACGCTAGACACGTATTGTTGGCTCTCCTAGGGCGATGAGCGTAAACCGTGTTCCTTGGTTCTTTTTTAGATACCGCCGCCTGCCCCAGCATAAATTCCCGGTGGCGGCACGAGACTGTATTGCGGCCACCATCCACTTCTTGAAGTCCCTGAATATGTATGGGGTGGATCCAGATCGGGTCGTGGTCTGTGGTGACAGTGTGGGAGGGGGAATGGCCACGATAGTTTGTCAAAAACTTTTGGACTGTCCAGAGCTCCCCAAGATCCGTGCTCAGATCCTGGTCTACGCCATCCTCCAAGCTGTGGATTTTCAATCCCCTTCTTTTCAGCAGAACAGGAATATCCCACTGCTCAATTGGAATTTTGCCTTCTACTGTTGGAGTTGTTACCTGGACATCAACCCCTCCTGGAAAAGCACCATCATGAAAGGTGCCCATTTGCCTGCTGAAGTCTGGGAAAAGTACAGAAAGTGGTTGGGTGCAGAAAACATCCCGGAGAGGTTTAAGAAGAAAAGCTACCGGCCGATGCCCCGTGAGCCCCTAAACGAGGCTGCCTACCTGGAGACAAACCTCGCTCTGGATTTGATGAACTCACCCCTGATCGCAGAAGATGAAGTCATGTCTCAACTCCCCGAGGCTTGCATTGTGAGCTGTGAGTATGACCTTCTCCGGGACCATTCACTGTTGTTCAAGAAGCGGTTGGAGGACTTGGGAGTCCCGGTGACATGGCACCACATGGAGGATGGTTTCCACGGAGTGCTTAGCACCTTTGATATGGGCTACTTGCAATTCCCCTGCTCCACGAGGATTCTAAATGCCATGGTCCATTTTGTAAATAAGTTGTGACCGTCTTTCCTTCCTGTTAGAGCTGCGGAAGTGTGTGTTCAGCCACGATCTGGTTCCCCAATGGGACTCTTTGTTGTGATGTAGGCCAGGCTGAGTGGGGCTGGGGAGGGTGTCGAGGTTGCCATGTTCTTCTTGCTTCAGCTTCTAGAACTGCAGAATGCGTGTTTCTGATGTCTCAAGGGAGAGCAGTAGGAGAGACAGGTTTGGGGGGAGGGTGGGACTCTGTTCATGTTCGTGGTCAGGAAAACTTGAGCTGCAGTGGCCATTGGAGAGAGTGAATGATCATGTAAGGGTTGCCTGTGGCTTCCCTGAGGGAGAGTTCAGGCTGATGTAGGCTGTAGGTAGCACTTGGCTAGCCTTGGAATGAAACGGGCATCATGTGCAATCCCATGGGCTTTTTTCAGCCTAGCTCAGAGGATGGGGCTCTGATGTTCTAGACTGCTGAATGGAGGTGGGAAACTGGTGTCACTCTCCCCCTGTGGGTACACGGTAACATTTCTCCTGCTGTTCCTCTGCCTCTGCGCTCAGAGTTTTGACTGTCTGGGCTTGAAGAGTTAGAACAGAATGGATAGGTTTTCCATAGTGGTTGGCACCTAGAGGCTGATGAAGATAGCCAAGAGCCATCTGGCCAGGGAGCTCTGGATCTCCTGGAGTCAAAGGAGCCAAAGGGCTGAAGATGTATTAGCAAAAACGATTTCTGTCTGAAGACACACAACCAACTCAAATTGGCCTAAATCAGAGAAAGAATGTATTGGTTGATGTAGCTATGAATTCCAAGGATAAATCAGGTATGGTTTGATCTAAGAACTCAGACGATGCCACCAGCTGCCTTCTCTTCTCCTCTGCATTTACTTCACCTTCACCTCTGCATATGGGTGGCCCTGAGCAGCTCCATACTTACATTCTCTAGAGTCAAGTCCGTCCTTATAGACTTGCCTCATTCTCAGCCATCCCAGAAGAAACCACGTTGTAACTCAATAGCTCTGTGGGCATTTTGGGTGGTGTGTCCAGGTGCCACAACTAAGGGAATGGAATGTTCTGACTGGCCAGGCCTAAGTCCCATACTGGCCTTGGAGTGAAGGATGGGATAAACTCCACCCAGTGCTTGGACTGAGCATGAGGGAAGGAGAGAATATTTTCCTCACATCAACACTCACTCTTCTACAGTAGACATCAATGCTTACTCTACTGAGTGGACATCAGTGCCAACTCTGCTGGGTGGACATCAATGCTTACTCTACCACAGAAGCTAAATGAACTCTGAATCAGAGTACTTGGATGTGGCAAGGGATGTCAAGGACCACTCAACAAGTTGGCCACTTGTCCGTGAGGAATAAAAATTCCAATGAAGGGGCGCCTGGGTGGCTCCGTCGGTTGGGTGTCCGACTTCAGCTCAGGTCATGATCTCGCGGTTCATGAGTTTGAGCCCCGCATCAGGCTCTGTGAGCCTGCTTCAGATTCTGTGTCTCCCTCTCTCTCTGCCCCTCCCCCGCTCACACTCTGTCTCTGTCTCTCTCAAAAATAAATAAATGTTTAAAAAAATTCCAATGAAATGGATGGCCCAGGTTCCCAGGCTGGCCCTACCTGGTCTTCAGGTTGGCTAGCAGCTTTTATAGGCCAAGATCCAAGTCTACTGCACAGAGACACCCGTGCATGACCTTAACTGGCTTTCAGTTGAATGCTCGTGCTGAAACATGGGGCAAAGAGGAATCCCATCTGGTGGCTCCTCAATCCATTCACAGCAGGAGACCAGCAGGTGTCTTTGTTGGAGAATTAGGAACCATTCACTGAAAGCACCTCGTCTGGTGGCCCCTCAGCTGTTGGGCAGCACTGGGATCTGAGGAGCATGGTCCCTTCTAGAATAGGTCTCTGAGCTGAGTCTGGGTAGGCTCCTCTCCTGGAATGTGGCCTTCATTGTTTTATGCTGCCTCTGACTGAGCTGGCCTTCTGGGGAGTTGGGTGGTTAGCTCTCCTACTGTGGGATGGCAGGGGGTGTGTGAACCAGTGGAGGACCATACCCAAGGGAGATGAGTCAGTTACGTTTTTGGGGCTGGAAGAACCTCTGGCTTTGAATTTCCACTGCCCTGTGATAAGAAAGCAGTAGCTTCGAGCTGTTACCCTGGCATTTTGCAGCACGACAGCACCCACAGGCTAGACATTCAGATAAGAACCTGGAGCTTAGGATTCTTGCTGTAAGTTCCCACTCTACTTTTCCTGGGCCACCTTTAAAAATAGCCATGTAGGGTTGAGTCTACAAGAAGTTAGTGACCTCTGCCACAGCCACCTTATCAGTAGCAGGTGCTTACTACCCTGCTCTCTCTCCTGCTCACTCGAGACCTGAAACAGAGGACTTGGCTCATTGTACATCACAACCCCATTTCTGGAATCTATAAGCAATAAATCTTGAGACTTTGCTACCTTTGTGTGAGCATGTTGAAACTGCGCCTTCAATCAAAAAGACCCCCAGGTTTCTACATCCCCAAGATCGGAGCTAGGAAACTGAGGGAGCTGCCTGCCCACCCTACAAGGGAGGCTCACACCTCCTCACTCAGCAGGTCATAATCTGCATATTCTTAACCTAATACACCAGCTATGGTCCCCCCAACAAGCTCGTGTGTTCCTCATGTGAATTCTACAAAGTAGGTATTCTTTGTTTTTTAAGTTTTATTTTATTTATTTTCAGAGAGAGAGAGAGAGTGAGGGAGCTGGGGAGGGGCAGAGAGAGAGGGAGAGAGAGAATCGCAAGCAGGCTCCGCACTGACAGTGTGGGGCTTGAACCCACGAACCATGACATCATGACCTGAGCCAAAACCAAGAGATGCTTAACCAACTGAGCCACCCAGGAGTCCCCAAAGTAGATACTCTTAAGCCTATTTTACAGATGAGGACACTGAGGCTCAGAATCATTAATAACATTGCTCACTTCCTGTCTCTTTGTGGTAAGGTTCAAGGTCACGTGATTGGCCAGGTGCTGTGCATTGTAACCCTGATCCAACTGATGACACCCCTTTTCTGCTGTGCCCCATGACCCACTAGCTCATTCCTTTCCTCCTCATTCAGAATTAAAAGACACAACTGAGCCACATGACCTTATTTGAGTCATTTGCCATCCACCTAGGTGCCGGCTCCTGTCTGATCTGAGTCATGTTGAAGAAGCTAGGTGTTTTTGCCTCCTGGTTTCCTTTGTTTTTTCAACTGTAGCTTTCTTGAAGTCTGAATGACTTTGGAATTGGTCATCATAGGCCTTTCCAGCTGAGGTGCCCAGCTAATACCAGCTCAGGGGAGGTGGGCACCTATGTATACCATTAAACCTGGACGCTCTGCAACTGTTTTCTCAGTAATCTGCCAGGACATCCCTGAAAAGATCTGCCAGTTAGCCTAGGGCAAGTGCCATCTGATAAAGGGCAACATGTCGCATCCCAAAGTGCTCTCATTGGTCAGGGGGTAATTGAGGACGAGGTCCTAAGGCAAAGTTGAAAAATGGGCAAAATTAGCATCTGCTGCTTTTTGGTCTACTTCCCTTTCAGTGTCCACCTTGGGGTCCTCCTCACCCCCACCCGGGACCTCCAGGCCTTTCTGACCCCAAACCTTGTCTCCCTCTCTGCTCCAGAGTGGCTGCTTACTCTCTGTTATCCCTGGGCTTCTCTGGGCTAGTCTAGGTTAGGTTCTGCCACAGTGACAAGTGGTCCCCACAGTCTCGGTGGCTTATAATAGCAGAGGTCTATTTCTTGCTCCCATTACACGTTGCATGGCCTTCACAGGTTGGCTGGGGCTCCGCTCCACATTTGTCTACTCCAGGATCCAGGCTGATGGGACAGCCTCTCTCTGATATGTCTTCAGTCTTGTGGCAGAGGAGAAAAGAACACAGCAAATCACACACTGACTCCTCAAGCTTCCATTCTCCTTTCATTGGCCAGAGCAAGTCTGACATTGATAGCACAGAGAAGCATCATCCTCCCCAGAGAGGGGCAGCAGATATTTTTTTTGGACAATATTACAGCTTACCATGCCCTCAATCATAATATTTCCATTCTACCTTTAAAATTTAACTTTACATTATGTAAGTGATAGACAAAGATATTATCTTAAAATTTTTTTTAATGTTTTTTTTAAGTTTATTTTTGAGAGAGAGACAGACAGAGCATGAGTGGGGGAGGGGCAGAGAAAGAGGAAGACACAGAATCCCAAGCGAGCTCCAGGCTCTGAGCCATCAGCACAGAGCCTGATGCGGGGCTCGAACTCATGAACCGTGAGATCATGACCTGAGCCGAAGTTGGAAGCTCAACCAACTGAGCCACCCAGGCGCTCCAAAGATATTATCTTTTTAAATAAAACCTTCAAATACCAGAGATAAGACCACCCTCCCTTAAATCTATCCCCTTTTATCTGGATGTATCCACTGTTACCTTTTTTGGTTGGGGGTGGTCTTTCAACTCTTTAAAGCCTCTTTCTATGGTTTTACATACACAGATATGTACCCATGGAAAATATGAAGCATTATTTTGTGGGATGGTTTTGCTAGATATTAGTACATAAAAGATATTATTCTGTACATGTTGTTACACTTGAGTGTTTTTCAATCAATGATATACCAGAAATCTATCCTAGTAAACAATACAGATTTACCTTACTCTTTCTAGCCACTGCATAAAAATATTCCCCAGTGTGGCTATATTATAGTTCTTAGCCATTCCCAACTAGTGGGAATTCCCAACGTTTGGTCTCTTTCCAGTTTTTCACAAATCCGTAGTGAATGTGTCTGCACACCCCCCCCCCCCACTTTTGCACATGTGATTCTGTGATAGATTCAAGAAGGAGAAGTGTTGACTGGGCATATTTTACCTGTCAGTGGATGTTACCAAAATGCCTGTCCCATTTCCTTTTTCTCAGCAGATCTCAACTGGGAGGGAAATAGATCATAACCACCCATCCCAAAGACAAAAAAAAAAAAAAAAATTGATAGGCTTGACAAGCAGTAGGGTGCGACCAAGTTGGCATGG